CTATCCTATCCTATCCTATCCTATCCTATCCTATCCTATCCTATCCTATCCTATCCACCACTTCATGGTGTTTTAAGCGGTTTACAATGGCAGCACACTGTCCCCAGCAATCTGGGTCCTCATTTAACTGACCTCTGAAGAATGGAAGGCTGAGTCAAGCTTGAGCCGGTCAGGATCGAACTGCTGGCAGTTGGCAGAGTCATCCTGCAATACTGCATTTCTAACCACTGCGCCACCAAGTTGCTAAACCAAAAGGGGATCGGTGAGTTTCGGGTTCAGCATGTTGTGTAAACACAGCTGGTCCTTTCTCAGTTGGGCTTGGTGGCTTGCATAGAAGGAAACTTTCCATGCCAAAATTTCAAACTCTTCCCTTCCCTTCGTAGTTTAAATAGAACTGTGAGCTGATCGCACTTCTTTGCCAAGTTGTGAGGGACCCCCTGAGAGTGACAGGAAGTAATATTGAAACAAGATAATGAGCCTTTTACAATGGCGATTTTCCACTTTGGCTGCAGGGTGAAAGTGTGAAAGCTGGCGATAACACCAGCGAAGGAATGAAAGGGAAAAGGAAGAAATGCAGAGAGCTGCCCCAGCCAGAAGTCAGGATGAGCTACCAGGGTTAGGATTAGACCTTCAAAAGCTTTGAAATTTGCACCATCTTGTGATGCTAAAAGGGAATTTTTGTAAAACGACACACCATTGGTACACATCAGCAGGGGAAATTGTCTAAGACGTGTAAAGGTGCTTCTCATTTGTGTCGGAAATGTGAAAATCCTGAAGCGACGTTTTAACATGAGTGGGTGGGCTTGTGTGAAAGCAAGACAAATATTGGATCGATGTAGATATTTTTATTTGGTGTTTTATCTCATCCTTATTAGATTTGTTTTATTCTGCCTTTATTATTTAATAAATAACTCAAGGTTATTTATATGATACTCCTCCCTCCTCCTCTTTTCCCCACAACAACAACCGTGTGAGGTTGGGCTGAAAGTGACTGACCCAAAATCACCCAGCCAGCTTTCATGCCTAAGGAAGGACTAGAATTCACCATTTCCTGGTTTGTAGCCTGCTACCTTAGCCACTAGATCAAACTTCCTATCCACATAGAGAACTTTAAAAATTAATTTAAATTCTGAAACCAAAATTGTTCTGATTAGGACTTGATGGGTACTCAATTAGTAAAGATTTACACATTGTAGGACACCAAAAGTAGTTTAGAGCTGGACTTAGGGCATTCTGTGAACACCTGTCGGTTGCAACATACTCATTGACCAATGATTAAGGCAAGCCAGGGCTTAATGTAAACATGTAACAGAGTTGTGGTGCAGTGGTTAGAATGCAGTACTGCAGGCTGACTCTACCGACTGCCAGCAGCTCAATCCTGATTGGCTCAAGGTTGACTCAGCCTTCCATCCTTCTGAGGTCAGTCAATGCGGATCCAGATTGTTGGGGACAATAGGCTGACTCAATAAACTGCTCAGAGAGAGATGTAAAGCATTGTGAAGCGGTATATAAGTCTAAGTGCTATTGCTAAAGAGACATGGTGACTCCGTGAGAATGCAGTGCTGTAGGCTAACTCTGCCCACCGCCAGCAGTTCGATCCTGACTGGCTCAAGGTTGACTCAGCCTTCCCTCCTTCCGAGGTCGGTAAAATGGCGGGCAGGGCGGATGCTGAGTCTGTAAACCACTTAGGGAATGCTCTAAAGCACTATGAAACGTTATAAATCTAAGTGCTAAATGAACCAGATCCATAGTTTGCAACTGCAAATCACGAAGTCTCTTAGCTCACCTTTTTCTTGTGGGATTGGCAGGTTTTTCTATAAGCACATTTGGCGGAGCTGGGATGAAGAAGATGATGACGACTTCGACTACTTTGTCCGATGCGTGGAACCTCGTCTGCGTTTGTAAGTCCTGCAGAAGGAATTATTTATTATTATTATTATTATTATTATTATTATTATTATTATTATTATT